AACTCTAAAGTTTCGACATTTCTGGAAGCTTTTAATGTGGTTTGGTCCTATCTTCAAGACAGATTCATGACGGTTAAAGTGTGACAGTCGTTTTCTGGTCGATATTACTGCTCCAATGGAATACCCCAAGATGGGTTGCTCTCTCCCCTATTATTTCTGATTTTATCGAAGTCTGAAGGAATCAAAATTCAAATCTATGCTAAATATCAAGATGTATGCTTTCTATAATAAACAAAGCCATTGTTGCGTTCATGAGAGATTACAGTCATCTATCAATGCACTGAAAGTCTAGGGCTGGAGGAATGGGTTAATCTTGATGAATGCTCCTCTCTGACTTTAGGAAAGGCTTCCCCGCTGAATTACGCAGTTGGTGAAACAGAGTTGATTTTACGTTCCATATTAAAAGATTTGGGTGCCTTCTCTGATTCAAAACTCGATTTCACGGAGCACATTGACTACGCATCAAGAAAGCCTACTCATCATTATTCTTTATCTTTCAAAACATCCATGCCACTAACCAGTCGATTTTAGGGATTGCACAAAGCTTATGTGGTTCCTCACCTGGTACACTGTTCTCAGGTGTGGAACCAAGCTTGTTGAAGCAAAGTTCGAAGGTTGAGAAAGTTCAACGTGTTTTTACAAGAATAATTTTACCTCGTAGTCAAAATACTTCTGGCAGGGCCCGGCAGGAGGTGGCATTTCAGAATTTTGAAAACGATATCCCCTTTGAAGCCAAAATTTCTCACGACTTCTCCTTTGACCCTATTTTTGGCCCCCGTAAGTCCCTGACAAACAGATATACACAAATAATAAGATGGGCGGCCTCAGCGCTTATTATAGTAGTACTACCTGGCTTTCCTGGTCCAGCCCGGGTCATCGTTTGAGAGGATGGTCAAGAATTACACTTACTAACGACTTGTTACTAACGACCCAAAAGAGCGAAAGTACGGAAAACTTGACCATATTGCGAAAACTGAAAAAATACGATTACAAAAACAATTTTTTGCATAGAACATTACGATCAATTATGATCGCTGAGCCTTCTGAGCCCTTGTAGGGCTTATCGAAGAAGCAATCGGTTGAAGACTGAGAAGATTGCTTCAATCAGCGATCAGTAATCTAGCAAAAAGTCAATTTCTCAAAGTTTCCGCGTCGTCTGTGCAAGGTGCACCGATTGCGATTGGAGCGCGCTTTCCGAGGCCGACCATAACGCTGTGAACCCTATTTGGGGCTGTATCGAAGCGGTGCCTTGGTGGTTTTGGAAGCGGATTTGAACATGTAGTAATACTCTCGACCTACGCCACATTTATGTAAAGAAATCCGGGAAATTATGTGAAGGAAAGCAGGGAGCCACCCCAGGTGGCTCCCAGGTGGCGCGGGAGCCACCTAATTTCGAAAAACACTTACCATTTTTTAAATTCACATAAGTTTCTCATAATTTTTCATACTTTGTTACTTAGTCCTACTGCGCATATACACACCAAATCCCGCGCAATTTCGTCACCTCTGCGTTGCAAACGAGCCATTTTTCCATTTTCTTGATAGTGGGAAATTTTCAGAAAAAACCTTGCTACAACCTTCAGTCACATAATTTTTTAATGAAACTCCTAACTAATCTCTTACAGGCTTGTGTCCACGTATGTACCAAGTTTCGTAGCATATCGTCATCTGCGCGTTGCAAACGAGCCAATTGAATGCGCATCTTCATTTACCAATTTTACAAAATTTTCGGAAAAAATGCTTATTACTCGTTCCGTTCACATAAGTTTTTCATGATTTTTCATACTTTGTTTCCATTAGCCTCTCTCCGTTCGCTTACAAATTTTGGTGCCATATCGTTACGCATACATTGAGAACTCGTCATTTATGCGTTACAAACAGCATTGTTTGAGCGACGTCGCGCGTGCGGCAGTTAGCGACGGCGCGGTTCCACGCGCGCGAACTCCAGTGTTCGCCTGTTGAGGGACATAACATGTTAAGATAAGCAGCGAGCATGACCAATTTTTTTCCGGGGCTCCGCCCCGGACCCCAAAAAACGACTTCCCCTTTGCTTTTTCGGGCCAAAAACGATATCCAGCTTGTGAAAGCGCCACGCCCGCCGGGCCCTGACTTCTGGATGAACAATCCCAGACTACATAGAGGCTCAGAATTACTGGATTGAAATCACCGAGAGTCATAAGAAGTATTCTGAGCTGATTTCCTGTTTTCTTATATTGAAGGAAGAGATTGATCTCAGTGCCAGCTTTTGGGTATTTAGACCAACTAGCGGCAGGCATGGAGGATTCAATGCCTATTATGCCAGGTCAAAGAAGTACCACTACTCCGGACTTTTCACTTGTCTTTTTTATCGTTGAGCCCACTGGTTTCGACTTTTGCCTACTAAACTATTATCGTCAAAAACAGTAATTCTTTCAAAGGGGGAGTGGAAAAGCTTGATAGGAAGGGATTCTGAATTGTGGCAATTATCTCTGTTGATTTGAGGTTGTTTATCCAGATTTTCCAGGGATCCCTTTTTTGTGAGTTTGTACAACCAGATTTCCCAGAGATCCCTTTCATAGAGTGATGTATCGGAATTCTGATTAAACAACGGTGTATGAGTAAATATTTACATTTAGACTATTAGGTCCAAGGTTATTGAAGGATCCGCAGTTGCGCTGGAGTTTACTTTTTTGAGCTTTTTATCGTTAGTCTATTCCAATAATTAAATTCTTTGTTTCAGGCTTCTACAGCTGTTGTGTTGCTGTTTATGTGTTACGCTGTTTGTTTTATGTACTTCACTGGTCTTTGATACCGTTTCCACGAGTGTTGACCGTTGCAGGAGGTGCTCAATTTTCATGTTGTTTTTTATGGGTTCTTTGCAACTGAGTTCCTCATATCTTTTGCATTCCGATGAATCTTGCTCACCTCTAAACAGAATCATCTTTATAGTGGGTTACGTCAGGTTTGGCACCGGGGGCTCGCTGACACTCCAAATCGGGAATTATCGTAATTTTAGAGGTGGCAAAGGTTCTGCCATATTCAGGTGTGTTTTAACTCGAAGTTATTATTTTGTTTGAATCGCTTGATTGTGTTTATTTTTTACTAGCTGGCATACCCGGCTCCGCCGTATGTTCCGAATAGAAAATTCCATTTCTTAACCGATCCGAACCGAACTTGGCACACATACACATCGGGCCCCGGCGGGTGTCACAGTCCACTTTTCCTTATCGATTGATGTCGATTTTATCGATTTTTTGCAAAGTTTGAGCTACGGGGCTGGGAGTTGGCACAGGGGGGGGGGGTAATCGAGCATGCTGATTACGAATACAATATTAGTTTTCGAAACCGTACATTACTTTTATCGATTTTATCGATTTTTTGCAAAGTTTGAGCTACGGGGCTGGGAGTTGGCACAGGGGGGTAAGTGAGCATGAGGATTCCGAATACAATATTAGTTTTCGAAACCGTACATTACTTTTATCGATTTTATCGATTTTTTGCAAAATTTGAGCTACGGGGCTGGGAGTTGGCACAGGGGGGGTAAGTGAGCATGAGGATTACGAATACAATATTAGTTTTCGAAACCGTACATTACTTTTATCGATTTTATCGATTTTTTGCAAAGTTTGAGCTACCGGGCTGGGAGTTGGCACAGGGGGGTAATCGAATGCTGATCATTCGCATTGGCACATTTCCCCTGTGCCAACTCCCAGCCCCGTAGCTCAAACTTTGCAAAAAATCGATAAAATCGATATCGATCGATACGAAAAGTAGCCTATGACACCCGCCGGGGCCCGAAGTGTATGTGTGCCAAGTTTGGTCCCGATCGGTTCAGAAATGGAATTTTCTATTCGGAACATACGTACAGACATACAGACAGACATACAGACATACAGACAGACATACAAACAGACATTCAGCTTTATATATAAGATTTTTTTGGTGCACCTAGAGTGTAAATCAAAATAGAATATTATAAAAGAAAATATAAACTTCAACCAAAATGGTGAAGCCTGTTCCTATGGAATGGTTGAAAACCCCCCGAAACTCTCTCTCACTATTGTACCCTTTGAGGGCGTACGGTACTCAGAGCTGCTGTTCTAAACCGCGGATATGAGTTGAGTTGAGTCTCATACGATGTATCCATTTCTCTTCCAGTGACAAGGCACCCGGAAAAGGTTATAAACGATCAGTCAGTTGTCTCTAGGCACTGCGAAAGCATATGACTGTGAAAGTTTGCTGCCATGAATCATTCAGTGCAAACCATCATAGGGCACAACATCTAGCAATGTGCTTCATAACTGCTCTATAAACGAAAAGTGCTTCCTCTAGCCATCCCTTGAAACAAGCAAATCCGGTTATGTAAACACTGTAGCACTTATCGACATGGGGTAATGTGTTACGAATACCTGTTGTCCCACTTATGCTCTTTTCCGGCTATCGGTCAAAACAACTTGCAATTTTTGGCAAACAACACTTTCTTCAGATGGAAATCTAGAACAGAAGTGGATTCTTGGCACTCGAGTGGTGAACTTGAACAAAAGAGCGGAAATTGAAACTCGTTCTCACCACAAGGTTTCGACGACCATAATGATTCATGCCGTAATTCGACTATTCTGTGCAAATGCAATAGAATTCAGGTGTCATTACGACTGATTCAAAGTAACACTTCATTGAGCAGAGCCATGTTTAAACCAGTGCCCAAGAGTGAGATTTGGCATAATTCCAATGCAGCACAGAATAATAGCCTTCCTTGTTCTCCAAGGTCCGTCCAGAAGGCACGAGACATCACAGAAACCACGATGCTTTACGGAAACAACGTCTTTCTAGCATTTGTAGTGCAAACGCACTACAACGCAAAGATTGATGGCAAGTGCATCCTTGCAATTGCGCCACCATGTTGACGATGATATTATGAAATTTTATTATTGTAATACATATATCACATATGAGAAACTTTCACCGGTAGATAGACAGTTGACAATGAGCACAAAGTACAAACTACTTTGTAACTAAAAATGGGCGAAATGTAATAAAATCAGATCGATGAGAAGTTCAAAAATGGAGCAGAAGCCTCGACAAAAAAGCAGATAGGCACGAAAAAGTCACAAACAATGAGTCAAAGAAGTACTGCAAGCAGAACCCATTTCATTCGGAGCAACCATAAGAACACATAGTAAAAATCAGGGATGAAAGCTAGAGATATCGAACCTGGATTTGATTGCAAAAGCTGCCAGACATAGCTTGAGGGACGAACCAACATATGATTCATTATGATTCAAAATCAAACATTGGAAAACAAGCGAGATGAAGGAAAATGACATAAAACTTCAATGTAAACAACAACTGAGCTAAATTACGGCATCTGTGTAGATCGACAAACAGATGCAGATTTTGACATTGATTTGAGATGATACTGCAAATCGAAACTGCTAATTTGACTTCGGAAAATATGGAGAACGACTGCTTGCTACAAAAAAAGTATGGTTGTGCTGTTCGCATGCACCAATATCAGCTGAAGTTTCTCAATAGGCACCCAAGCTCTCAAGCAGCAATCAAGGTTCAAATAAAATGAAAGACAATAAGAAAATAACGATCGCAATGAGCAAAAATTCCTACATACTATAAAATGCACAGATCAAACACTACATTCTCGTATTCAATGCGGGTTCACTGCCTTGTTGACAAGTGAAAAAAGATGTAATCGACGAATGCCGGGGTACCTAAGAAAGTGATTTAATAAAATTTAAAATCTGCTTTTGCATAATAAAATTAGTTAGGTACCTGCTATCTTACCTCGACCTCTTCGTCATCATCATTGTGCATAAAAGATCCAGGCTGATGTGCCGTTTGCTCACTGTCACCATCTGCCGCACTGTAAAAAAACACCAAAAAATTTAATACTTTCCATAACAAATAAAGCATTCACATAACTATCACAAAAATTTTTTTAGCTACACACAATGACAAGTTGCGAAAAATAGTTAAAAGCAAAAAACATCTTCCAAATTCAAACCCCATGTAAAATATACAGCTTCCATTAAAAATATAGTCTTTAGTAGCATGGACTGAATATAACTTACATTGTAAAACGAGCACATCTGTATAACATCAGGAACACATCGAATATGGATCTAAACACTGAAGCTGTTATACTCAAAAAAGACGGACATTGAAGCTTAGCAGGGTGAAAGGGACGCAAAAATCATCTGGCCAAAGTGGGTCCACTTCGAAAAAAATGGACCAGAAGTTGATCAAGGTGATCAGGATGATTTATTTGAAAGGTAGCGTTTGTGGTATACGAGGGGATGTCCTAAAATTCGACCTGCTGAACAGGTCCCTTTCTCATGTATGGGGATAACTGACAAAAAACTTGATCATTTTTCGAAGCACACTCATTTTGAATTTCCGTTGCATGACCCAAAAAAAAGCTTTGGACAATTTTGCCTAATGCTGTATAATCAGCAAAAAGAGGATTTAATTCATTTTCTTGAGAGAAAGCAAGAAAATAGGCGCAGGGAACGGTGGAAATCACATTATTGTATTCTACATCGAAACAAAGTTTTTTTTTTCCTCTTCAAGAACCCTAGCCGCAATTCAGGTCCAAGATAATTGGGAAAACCTTCAAAAACGCGTGCAATAGTTGGTAGATACGAGGTAATCAGATGATTCCTTTATTCTACCGAATAACTCTAGTGCATATTTGTAGAAGTTAGACTTGGAAGGTCTTGTCGACAAGTAAACACAAATTTTATTTGGACCCCTCATAAGAATCATATCATCCCAACAACGTGGAGTCTAAAACGCGAGCTCTAAAGATATTTTCAGATAACTATCGTCAACTTTATAGTAATTTCTAGTTCGTTTTTTTTCTGGTACAAATTGAAGCAATCAAGCTTGTTGCTGTGTTTTGATGTGACCCCAACAATTTCTTGTAGCAGCGCCCTGGACCAATCAAACAACAGGAACCTCGCGTGCGACATGAATCTAATTCCTTTTGATCCACTATGAAAAACAAGCTCCGGACTAGATTAGCCATGACGATACACAAACAAATTCGTCATGGCGATGGCGGTTTTGCGCGTTCTGTTAACAATTTTCTTCAAAAGCTTGCCGTCTGCTCTATGGCTTAAAACATACCTGGCGGCGGGTGTCCATACGTAGCGGTGGCAGCAACGCTTTTAGTGCGTATTGATTGCAGCGGAGTGACGCCGCTGCTTAGCGCTGCAGCAGCTAACGTGAAAGGTCATGTCCATACCTAGCGTCTCAATTCTGAGCAGCGCTGCGCAGCGCTGCTCAAGCTGAGCAGCGCTGCAACTGGATTTTGCAGCTGAGTTACGCTCACTTTTTCTGAGCGTATCTCAGCTGCTCTGAGCTGATCTCAGCTGCTTTGAGCTGCAACAGCTGATTTTATGTGTTTTTGAAGTCATTTTTTTTTTGAAATTTGCGTGTTTTGGATAATAATCAAGTGATAAACGAACTGAGGCGCAAGTGACCCCCTAAAACAAGGGCAAACGATAATTATGTATTGAGGCATTTATCGCGCCCTAGTTAGGACGCAGCGCGTGTTTTGAGGTGTTGCGGGGCAGCAATCCTTCGTTCCTTGCAGCGCTGCTCAGCTCAAGTTGCAGCGCTGCTCAGCTGAAGCAGCGCTGCTCTCGCTGCTCGCACATTTTGTCCATACCTAAGCAGCGAGGTATGTATCAAGCCTATCCTTTGAAGCTGCTAACTCGTCATCAGGAAAAGCAACGTTCTTATGCCAAATGACTGGAGACAAAGTGATAGTTCAGATACATATTCTTGAAGTCAGGAAGTCTATAGTGCTAGCAAAATTTTATAACGTCATCATCATGATAATGCGTCTCGTGGTTAACTTCATGGAGTATGTATTACACTAGCAAATAAAAAGGACCTACCACCTAAGATTAGTGCTCGAACCTGGTATGTCAAATAGCTTGTTTATATTTCATCGGGGTTATGGCAATGACTCGTCTACAGTAAACCTGCCGTAACCTCCCTAGAGTGCTATTAGGTTGTAAAGAAAGTTGCCAATTCTTCTCATATTTACCAAAAATAAATGCGGAAGCAAGCGGCTGGTTTGGGATGTGTTCTTATTGTTACTGTAGAATGGCCCCACCTACCAAACACGCTATTTAGCTTGAAAAAATAAAAACTGAGAAGAGATACCCGAAAAAGCAGAAGAATCCGTTTCTCTTCTGCAAAAAGATTATAAACCTTCAGATTATAGACGCGTATTGCAGAAGTCTGGCTTATAAATCCGTTTTATATCCTTCGTATTGGTTAGATGAAGCAAAATCCGACTATTACTCGCTGCATGCCTTTTCCCAAGCAAGAGATAGCCCAAATCTATGGTTCAAAAACTGAACACTCCACTTTCAAAACGTAGCCAGCAGGCTTCTGGGATAAGAGAACCCATGTCATACCTAACCAGTACTCTAAGGATATCAGTACACAAGACCAAAATATCGTTGACTGACAGCCACTCGTAATGAAGATATAAGTGAAACACTTTAGCTCAACCTCTATTGGCAGAACTATCTCTAAGACCTAATATCTACTGACATGGAGCAAGAAATAAGCAAAGCAGAAAGAAGTTGTGCTAGATAAAGCAAGTCCTTGACCGTGTTCCTGCTCACAAGCTTTCACTATTATATCGCAGCAAAAGAAAGTTTAATCGACGAGCTTTTGAGTTACCCTCACATTTTTTGCATGCATTCATATTATTTCTTATGCCAGCCCATGCTGATTTCGAACACTGAGCAGCATTCGTTCTGATAGTATAAACCATAAAATCAACCAAACAAGCATCAATCATGCATTCTAGTTAAAAAATGCGGGTACGTCCCACTCTATTCAAGCATTGTCACATTTTTTCTCTCTTGTAAAAGTTCACACTATACGCCAGCAGCCAAGCAGACGCCCCTATTCGCTATTTTCGATGCTTTCTTTTCATCAATTCGGAGTATAGTTCTGTATGTCTAAAATGGCGCAACAGGGCTGTCTATCTAAGCTATGGTAGGTGCCAGAGTTGTCCGGTTCAACTCGGTTCATGAACCGCATGTGCAGGTTCACACGTTCGCTGGTGATTCGACCGACAGCGATTGGGTGAACCGCACAAACCGACTAAACCGGATAAGTCTGCAGTCTGGAACTTATCTATAGCAGTGCTAATCTGAGCGTGTTGGAGAGAGCGTGTACCTGTGAGTGGCAGATATGGTGCGTCAATAACAGCTTCAGCCACTGAGACAAGCAGAATAAGGTAAACTCACGAGGAGTCCATCAAATAAAGCTATTACTGCGCGATTACTTATATAAGCGAGAGGAACATAGATGTACACTGGAGTTTGAATGAAACTTGCATGGGTCAGTAGCACAAGTTAAAACTGTATAGCAGAATCAGGAAAGGGTAATATAACGGGGAGACGCAATGGTGAATTCCCAAAACTTTCCATGTAAAAAGCACCGATGGATCTAATAGGAAAATACAGCAAAAGCAATCCAACATTAACACATTTTTATTCCTTTTTAAACCGAAGAATTCAACCGTATAGAACGTAAAGTTAAAACATCACAGATTAAAACTTGACAATAAGCACATAGAAAACAAAACATGTACAACAATGTGAGTAAGCAGCACAGTGCATGCAAAGATTAGTGATTGCAAAGACGTGCACTACTCTAGCAGTACGATAGTGAAAGCATATACGACGACTACGCAGAAAAGAAACGAGAAAAGAATTAAAGGTTTCCAGTAAGAAAACAAAATTTTTGAATAAAAAGAGATCTCACGGTTCGAACGAAAGAACCAGTTTTTGAATCTCAAGCCTATCAAACAAAGCGTAAGATATTTGTCGAATTCTATCAAAACTACATTCTGACCAAAAATCAAAAATATTAGCCATCCAGCCCACAAAAGCTGAAAGATTAGACCAACATTGTAGAAATTTTATATTAAGAAGATAAATGATAATAAATCACTTACGCTTTTCTACTATCAGACGAAACTACTCCATTTGCCACATCTCTGCCCGACGCCAGCTCACTCAGCAGGGCTTTTCTAACAAGATACTTTTCTCTCTGTTGTTGAACAAAGATTCTTGTTGGAAGATCAGGGATGAGCCATTCGACTATTATTTTGACGATGAAAACCACATGCTAAACACATTATGGAATATTTAAAACAAAAAAAGGCACAGGAATCAGAAAAGTTCAATAAAAGGCTTTTCAAATCACAAACAAAGGATCTTCAAATCAACACAAAATTACGAACAATGTAGCATACCTCAAACACTACAACAAATAGTAGCCGAGCAGCAAACACTTTCCACCATTCTAGAGACAATCCTAGGTGGTCATCGCAAATTTCTTTTCCGTAAACGGTTATAGTTTCATTTCTCAGCGAGCACGGAGTGCGACGCCACCCTCGATATCTGAAATACCATGCAGGACTGACACTACTATAGGCACAAAACAATTTTCAAAGTGGTGGGTAGATGAAGCTAATTCAACGAATACTGACAGTGCAAAGGTTGGAGATTACCCTATAGGTGAGGCTTACCAAGGATATAATGCAAAAAGTACGGTTCAAGCAATTTTTATGTGAGATATATATTTTGAACGAGGAAAAATCCACAGGTTATTGAAAAAAAGTCTATCGTTATCTCTAGGAATAGTGCACTCACCTACATACACTAACATTGCTGAACTGTGAAGATTTCATCTGGAACTCAGAAGCATCAAAATATGACAGCGAAGAGTCAACATAGCCCATCATTGAGCTTCTTGCAAAATAGTACATTGTTTTCGGTACAAAATCTGAGGTGAATGCTATGACAAGAGCCTGAAATGTAGATTCATTCACTTGTGCAGAAATCTGAAACCAAAACAACTCACATTGATTGTGACACTAAACTTGCTGATAATGTTCAAGATCTTCAACCATATGCCAATATTTCTGCCCTAGAAACAAACTTTTTTCTTCAAAGAACAAAGAAAACAATGCAATATTACGCACCTGCGCTGGCACTGGTCTTTGATTGTTACATAAGAATTTGTAAGCATCAAGCCTAATCTCAAATATATTATTTAAAACAGCGAAGAAAGGAGCCAGCGGAAATGCAGCCACAAAAAGTGTACAGAAGCCAAATTGGAGCACTGGAAATACTAGATTGTATACAAACCCGTTTTTTCTGATTAAAAATGATTTCACGAAAAAAAGTCAAGAATTTTGAGGAAGCGGAGAACAAACTGATAACACTCAGATAGGGCAGAGACGCTGTTCTCAACGATAAATACAAGATAAAACTAACAAAACAAAGAATAAATTCAAAAAAAAACAAAACTGAATAATCAAGACCATCAACTTCCACATTATAAGGCCAAGCAGATAAGACTGAAGCTTACTAAAAACCAGAAATCAACACTTACCCATTTCCAGATACTCATCAAACAAAAACTGGTCATAAGTTGGATTAAGATAGTAATCAGCTTCCCATCTTTCCATTTCTTTACCTAACTTCTAAACAGATTCCATTGCTTTGAAACACAATAACACCACAAAAATTTTTACCCTGCTGCTCTCCTCTCTAATCCTCTCTTTTCGCTGCCTTTTTGTCTCAACATACGGTACCATCAGCTGCCACTTTCTTAGAAGGCTCATTACATTCCTAAAGTTTATCAAAAATTCAAGTTTTGACAAGTTATCTATGATAGGTATAGGCTATTCGCTGCACGCAAGATTGGACGCCTTTGAGTCCGATGAAGACAATTTGTGTTTGGGAGAGACAGCACGCGATTAGAGGAATGAAAGTGCGTTTGATTTGAAAGACGCCGACAGCGTCCGCAGTGGAATCCTGTCTCTGCGTGTGACGAATCGTCTACAGAAAAATGTAACTCACGGGTATGCAAATTCGACTGCAGCCGAAAAGAACTGCTTACCACACATAATGATTGCAAGTTGAATTACCAGTTCCACAAAACATCCAGCGGGGTCGCAACCCTGCAACACTCGTACAGAGTCAGCAAAGAAAGCGTACTATGATATCTAACACCATTTTATATCCACAGATACATAACTGGCGAAAAAGTAACGTGCAAGTGCAAGACTCCGTACACAGATAGCTCATCAATGTCAAAAGCACATTATGTCTGATGAAAACTAGATTTTTCTTGATAAGATAGACTGCAGCTACTCGTGTGAATCAGGATGTGAGAGCGAAATGAAGAGTAACGAACAAGAAGTTCAGAGTAAATAAGAAAACTGCTAGAAAATGCGAGGAGGGAAAAAGAAGAGGAGTAGAAAACGACTACGATACCGATACCCACCTCAAGTCTGTAACCAGCAATCTTCACATTTCCGTCATTATCTTTAGTACCAGGTAGCTGTGAAAGGCTGCAAACAGGCACATATAAACCGAAGAAACTCTAGATGAGATGACAAAAAACTTACGTCCCTTTTAAGAAAGCAATGTAAAAGAGCGAAGAGTAGTAGTTAGCAAATTGGAATGAAAATACTTTGAAAGTGTAGCTATTGTCAAAATCGGCTTGAGTTCTAGGACATTCCCAACAAGTCAAACGATGCGCCAGAGAGTTGTAGAACTGAAGTTCACAATACATACGAAAGCTTTAAGCCGACAAATGCATTTTCAAACTCACATAATTCATCGTCACAATGACGCAAAGATTGATCATAGCTGCACTGGCAGACACAATCAAAAACGCGTATGAGTCAACTGTTGGATTGTCCATCTAAAGAATTTTTCAAAATTTATGGCTACACTAACTATATTTCCAGTACTTACGCTGGCCAATAGTCGCATGCAGATCACTCGATAAATGACGATACCAAAGACAACAGCTAATACAAGGCTTATCTAGGAAAAATCAAGATAATTGAGCGGATAAATACAAGAATAAAGTTAGAAAATGCTAAAAAAGAACTGAAAGCAAACTCACAAAAAACAATACGGTAGCCATGGCAGCGAAAAAGTTGGCGCATTTCTTTTTACCGGACAAGTATGGTTCTTCTTGCTGAGTAACGGGATTATACCGTTTAGTCTTCACGCGGTATTGAAACTCAGGCCGTACAGTTTCCTGAAAAACGACATCGATACAGTGCCAGCTTAAATTCGGAATGACTGAGCACAAGCACAGCGATATATAGTACCACAACATCACAACAAACTCAACTCTGACTGCAGAACCTAAATTAGCACGTAAAGTTTCAAAAAAGCGATTTTATTGTAGACACCATTAGTCAATTAAGCATACATTTTCTGGTAGCGGTGGTTGCGAGTTGACAATATAAAAAGCCTAGTTGCTGCTGGCACACTCCGCCTACTGCCATGCCTCTTTTGAAACTACTCAAAAAAAAAGTTCTGCAGCCGCTACACCATCCTTCGAAAAAAGCTATATGATTCACTCTGATGAGCATTGCACCACACATGCAATATTAAAAACTGATAAATTTATAATAGCTAAAAGGCTCACCTCTTCGACAACGAAGTCCAACAAACCCCACTTCCATGCAACTTCTGCATGATATCTTTTCCATCCTTCGGTAAATAATGTCGCCCACACACTCATCAATGCAGCAAATATTACGGTACTTCCATTATCAAAAAGGTATGAGACCTAAATTATGACATCCGAAAATATATATTTCAATTCAAACTCAACAAAAAAGATGCGCTTACCTTCGCATAAACACAGCTATTGTTCAATGGTTGAAAATCGCAGTAATTCTCGCATTGAGGGCATATGAGCGTTACGGCACCCACACCATCTTTACCACAGATGTCATTGCTGAACAGATCAAAAAGTGCAACTCTTTAAGATAAAGGCATTAACGCGAAGCTGGCTGACCTAACTATATCCTCAGACATAGTACACCATCCATAAATTACGGGTATGATTCCGACAAATGCAGCCAAGTATAAAGATCTAGTATAGTAGCCGAGCCATGCGAAGTAAAATGCGACTTTCGTACCAAAATACCTCCTGACAAGATACAGTAAGGTCCATGAGAAGAAGAAGGCAATAAAAAAGAGAACAATTTTAAAGTATTTAGCATAAACAAGTTTATGAGAGAAGAAAAGATGAAAGACTAACTTGATGCAGTCAAGAGGTTGGTATTTCAGTACATTTGTATAGCTGACCCAATGATTATAGAGCAGCTCCCTTTGAGAACATTCATGCCCTTTGCTCATCTCTCTGCCGTCATCTCTTAGCGTCTGTAAAATATAATACCAAAAATTAAAGTTTGTATCTATGAACAGGGCTGTACCTGGTGCAGAGGGTAAGCCGCAGTGTAGACACCCTGAGCGATCAATCGTTCGATTCCAAATCGGTAGTGATTGCGCATTCTCGATGCAAGATCTGGATTATCGTAATGAGCTCGAGTGAGCAGATCATACACCATTCGAGATCGCTCCGAATGTGGAAACAAGATGTCTGGTCGATCCCAATTGACAAACCTGTTGAGGGTCGATCACTAATAGCGATTACTTTGAAATCAAAGTTGACTCACTGTTTCCGCCTATCACTGGAATAAGGTGCAGTGAAGAAATCTGGCTCCTCCAAGATTTTTTTAGTTTTCGCATCAAACTCAAAAATACCAAGTCGAGAAAGTAAACTATCAAGGAAGCCAGGAAGTGCCGTCCGATCCTGAAAGACCATCTACAATTCAAGTTTTATGGACAAACCTAGATGATTCACATAACTCGTCTCAGTGCAGACGAAATTTACGAGCTGAGACGAAACTGGCAAAACGAGAGAAAAATTTTTATACAACCAGACGGAAAGAAACGATTGTTTTTTAGTATCTATGACTACTCATAGAAAAGCTACTATGAATTGTAAAGATAGCTTTGATAGATATCGACGAGCAGTGGAATGAATAAGAAGGAAAAATCAATCCATAAGCACTTCCCTTCTGGAAGGGAGAAGAGTTTACTTTCAAAGCTATTTAACGGCAAAAAGAGAAAAAGAACCTCAAAAGTTAGAGTGCAAGATTTCTGAAAGAAAAAAATTACCTGGAAATCAACGTCGCTTTGCTGAACTGGAAGCTTCACACAGAGCAATTGCGCTTGCTTTTCCAGAACAGGAAACGGTGCATGCAAAAGAACAAATCGAGTACGACCCAGCTGAAACAAAAAATTAAAAAAATCCTTCTGCAAAACTTCTGTTGAAAAAGAGTCTCTAAAATGTAGATAAGAAGTCGGAAATGGAAATGAAAAATGTGTACCAGAAAATATCGCGAAAAGGAAAAGAAAAATAGGCCTAGATAAGAGAACTTACCAAAGGTGAGATCATACGTCGTTCAATCTCTAATCCCATCTTCTGCAAGTTCGTTTCGAAATAGTATCGCCTATTCAGTTTCTTCTCTATCTTATTAAAGGTAGACTGTTGTGTTTTGTCCTACAAGCAAATTTTTTTTGTAACGTGAAACCTTCACAGAATAAAATATGATTTTCGTTATGAGCATACAACATCCAAGTCTTCGTCTTCATCTTCATCTATATTTTCTTCAGCATAAGATGGAGAATCGCTAGTATCGCCACCACCGACACCTTCTTCGTAGGCTAACACATAGTCGATCTACAAATAAATTCAAAAGTAATGACGTACTCAAACAATAAATAATGATATAATCTGATATGACTCAAAATGTAGGCCTAACGATATTTTTTATATACCAACCAACCTGTCGCTTTCCATCTGAAAAGTAGCAGTTCTTGTCCCATTCCAACCCGAAGAAGTCTTGTATCTCTTTTGGCTGGTGCTGAAACATACAATCAAAAAAATCAAAGCAGTTATGCTAGCGTCGTGCAGGGAGGAGTCCATAAATGGCTTCACCATGAATCATGAAGTTATTAACTCACACTGTAGGTTTTTTCCATGTCATCAAGATGAACATCGGAGGGGCCTATGATGACAGTGCCGTCACCAGCATGCCCCATTTCGACGACGTTAGCCAAATCAACGTCGTCTTCAGTCTTCGCTGAAACTGTCATGTTTTGATGAAGTTGAATGGAAAAATACATCAAATTTTCAATTTTCAAAGTTGAATTTCCAACATTTATGAAATGCGGAATTAATATTGGTGTGTTCCATAGACATCTATAAGCAAAAATGTAACATCAAAAAAAAGGAAGCCAAATAATAAGAATTCAAAATTTCAGAATTCCAAAAGACAATAAAATAATATCTGTGTACAAGCGGAGAGCAAAGATGAAATTAAAAAGCAACAAGATAGAAATTACAATAAGGTCATATATGTCAACATGATCTATCGACAAAGAAATCACTCCCTGTACTGCGCCTACAACCACTGTTCCTAAAACACATACTAATCAGAAAACTGCTAACAGAAACATTTGGCGCACTTGGATTGTGACGGCGAAGATGAAGGAAAGACATACATATATAAGCATGTTGCTGACTAATCGTCACTAAAGACCCCACTCTCAAAGAAATAAATCACATTGATGGCCTCAACCCTCTTCAAGGTGTAAAAATAATGCACTAAATGCTTTTTGCGATTACTTCAGCTACAGTTTACTGGGGCCGAGTTGTTTTTTCGATAATCAGATTTTACATTATTGAGATCAGAAGCCAGTGCTTGTATAGAATGAAGATAGCGATTAATCGCACTCGAAAAACCTAAGTGACAGATTTACATCAGCTAAGCTGGATAAACTAAGCAAAAGTATGTTCGTTGGACTTTAATAGCCACCACAATCACTCAAATGATCTTTAAAACTTGTTATATCAAGGAAATGTGGTAGAACAGACTAAAAATCACAGCAAAAAAGACTAAAATATTATGTAAAAATACAAATCAGTTCACTGTATTTGAATACTTCGGAAAATGTTTCAGTAATTTGAGAAGATCTAGTGAAAAATATAATATTCCAATACAATAATATGAAATATGCTGTGATGATGGACGCGAGCGCTTCGTACAATGACGCCTCCAGAAAAAAGGTGAATAAAATGTGGGAAGTATGTGAGTCATTGTATTGCATTGCGGCACCAACTGCTGCCAAGTCAATGTGAAAAATAATTTCATACCACAAATTTATAAATTCTACCTAACAAGTGCGTCAGAGACTCTGTTTTTAATGACCTGCGATCAATGCCAATTGCAATGTTTTGCAGATTTTGCGCAGCCACTCGGAAAAACCGGAAACTCACTCCTGTTATTATTGCTATTTTTGCGATAAGCTCCCCAGCAGTTGCACAGAAAGAGCTACATACCACAACGACGTTTCTGATTCACATGGTGCGAGAATGAGTAACAAGCGAAGCTTGAGCAGTCACTTGGCTGACTCTCAGAAAAAAATTTGTAACAGAAAGCGAGGGAAGCGCTGAGATGACAGAACTAGTATTGCTTACTCAATTTTGAGCAACCGATTCGCTGTGGAAGTGGAGAACTTGTAAAAACATCTCAGTCGACATTCCAACACACTCATTGTTTACATTGTGGAGGTTAGAAAGAGTGTGTGTTGAGATTCATTGCTGTTTGCACAGGACTTGCTAAATGTCTTTGGGGAAAGCGAATGCTGGCCTATGTTGAGTTAAAAAGTAGATGGAGAAGAATGCAGTTAATCAAATAACAGCACGAAGAAACAAAATAATCGAATAACTCAATCAAATATTGATCCTCTCGACGTCAATTAAAACTTCAAACAATAGCAAAAAAATCAAAACCTCACCTTTTTCCATGTTGATAGGCGGATGCTATAGAGACGCCAGTACGCACTCTACATAACAAATGTGTAACAAAAGAAGCGGTGGGGTTTTTTCAGCGCCAGTCAAGATGTCCTTGACGTGCGCATCATAGCGATAGCGTCAAATATCACATCGATGCCAAGCTCCGAGAGAAAACATACGCAGCAGAGAGGCGGGCATATAATGATGCATTGCAATTATTTATCAAACGAATGTGCATGGGATGCGAGGCAAAAGAGCCTACCGGTTTTTTTTACAAACACTCATCAATGATGCGAGAGAAGCGAGATGCGAATTTGAGAGATTACTCAAAAAAGTGAGGTAATTCATTCAGAAGTGACACTGATGATACAATGAAGACAATTCAAGAGAAATCGCCTTGGTGTGAAGGCAATTGAAAAAATGCCTCGGTACAATGAAGACAGTTTGAGAAAAAACGCTATCGTACCGTATTTGCATTAAAGATCTGTGTTCGATTATGATGTTATCTCAGACAGCTCAATGAGTAACAAATGTTGACACTTCGAATTAACGTCGGCTCAGCTGGAGGTTTAAACTGATATGGAAGATTAAAGAGAAGAAATCTTGATATAAGAGAAGAGATGAAGCAACAAGCCGTTGCGATGAAGGCAAGAACAGACGGAAACATGAATAAATCTTTCGCTTTTCCACGATCGATGTTACGCTGTTCGAGCCATAAAGCTCCAAAACCACGGTTCAACATTCACATTTTCAAGATAAACTTAGATGCTAATGAAAAGGATTCTTTCGGAAAATGGGTTTTTCTATGAGGTTTTATGGTAAGGTTACTAGATCAAAACCATAGACCTTCTTGAAACTCTGCTTAGATCAAAAAAGCATGTTACATACTTGCCATGCTGATCACAAACATCATCATTTCACCATCGATTCAAGACAACGCCTCGTGTGGGATTACACTGAGATTTTCGTACAAGTATCGTAATCCCATAACGAGTTTACTATCGTTTAAACAACAAGCCGAATAGCCCTGGCTGTTTCAGACAGATCTTTGAATTTCCCCATACTCTGCAGATACTTAAATGCCTTACTGAAGGAGAGAGGGTGATGATTTTAGTGATCAGCATGACATAATTCCCAAAGACGAGTTTGTAAGAGGTACATGATCCAAATTGTTGTAGTCCAAATGGCCAAATAGCGTCAATGCTTCTACCTAGCTGGCACTAAGGAAATTTGATATTCCCTGTCGCGCGCTGCCAAGCGAATATTTGAAGAAAAAACTGCTTCAAGCACCAAGAGTATGAGAGCAGCATTGCACAAATGTTGTCCTACATTCAATTCGACACCTTTGATGACGTCTAATCAAAAGACACTCTAAGGCTTCGATGAGAACAAAAATGCTGCTTCAAATCGAAAACGACGACCATGCAAATATTGACAAAAGCAAAAAAGATGTAAAAAAGTATTAGAGCTTCCGTAGATTCATGCACGAGCGATAAAGCTTCCATGAAAGCTTTATTGCCTAAGGCCTCGGGCAGAGTTCAAGCGATTTGATCGTCGCGATACAATCGCTACAAGGCAAGTGTTACGAGTCCACTGCATGCCGATCTTCCTGTATTTCGGTTGTGATAGTTGGTCACGATCGGTCGTGTTGGAAAACTATCCACCGAAATGCAAGAAGATCGGCAGGCAGTAACTCGTAACACTTGTCTGTAGCGACTGAATCGCGACGATCAAATCGCGTACTCTGCCCGAGGCCTAACAAAGACATTGGTAAAATGCTCAAGCAGTCACTTAAGAAAAACTTTAGATGAAAAGATTCAAAAATATGCCGAATAAAAATTCCCGAGCTGATTCAACTCACGTTTGAGAAGCGGGACAGAATTGGCCACATCCTTATCCATGCTGAACTGATCGTATGCGGCTCCGCTTCTTCAAACGAGTATAGGTTCCCCTGAAAGCAGAGCGCATCAACGAAGCCTAAGACTCGGAGTCAATAAAACCTATGACTAATGTTCAGAAAATTGTGCATTGACAAGCTATGAGAACGTGCACTGGCCGGGTAAGAACCGAAAAAAAACAGGAACTTACAGGCGCTTCACCGCATTGTAACGTGCTATTGATCAGTAGTTGCTGAGAAACAGAGTAGGCAAATCCACCGGGCCTCCAATACACCTGTGTAAATAAAAACTGAAATCGATGCTTAGTTTTTACAAAGCACATCAAGAAATGGCAATTTCAACCTCAATAATATCTTCAGACCCCATAAATACAAAATAGCGATAAAACCACGACAAAGTGAAAGATTATGCAACGTCGAAAGTTGACACGAACAGGAACTTTGGCGGGCTAGAACAGGTTTTGTGTCAGCGAAAGGTCAAAAAATTAACATGGCCGTAACTGCGGCGAAGACCGCAAACACCCCGGCAAACAAAGTTTCGGCCTTTGATGCCCATTAAGTTTTTATTACGCAATCTGAAGAACAGGAATCAGAATACATCTATAGTGAAACCCATAGCAGTCAAATTTTGAGGTACCAGGAAAATCAAAAAAGTCCTTGCTCAAAACCATTCCTACTGTAGGACTACGGTAGAAGGACCATATAAACGGACAATAAACCAGAATGCACGCCTTAGCATTGGATTCGTCGAATTCTGTTGTGTTTGTTCAACCCGTCACTAGGCAAAGAAGGATGCATCAGAAAGGAAACATCAGAAAGCAAGGGATGAAGTCCAAAAATCGATGTTGTGCGAGTGACGAACCTTTACTCGCCTTGTTTCCCTTTCGTATTATAATGCAAAGACGTTCGGCAATGAATCACGCGTTAAATAGCGCCGAACAAATTGTAAGTGCTTTTATGAAAAAGAAGAATAGATTTCTTTACATACCTACCCTCGATATCATCCCATATGTCTTCCCTCAACATGACGTGGATTACGTGGCTTGATGAGGCGCCGCCTCGCCTCGGGCTTGCGCCACGTTGCGTGCGCATTTGCGGCGTGATGTGGCAACAAGAAGAACGTGGAAAAGCCTGCGCCACGTTGTGTTGAGCGCCACGTCGCGCCAAATGATGCGCTCGCAACGTGGCGCGAGCCCGGAGGGCGTGCAGGAGTTCCTAGCACCTTTCCTCGCACCATCCTCGCACCAGCATTCACAGCCTGGAGGATTCTAGCACCTCCGTGCCTCAGAGGTCAAGCCCCGCCCATTGCTCCACCCAATTACTAGTCTCATTGTGAGGTGTGCAAGCAGCCATAGATTCAGGTATTAAGCTAATGAGAGAGAAATGGAGAAAAACGAGGGACATAGTTGTCATTTCCCAAGTGAGGCGGCTTGGAAACTTCTGCTATGCCATCCTTTAAAAAAGGAGCAATTGAACATTATTTTCAGAAGAAAAAATCGCACAGAATTTTTTGGATAGAAAATCCGGTCATTCGAAGTATTGGAGGACCTGGTTGATCAATTGTACATTCTAGCCATCTGATTGAAGTAATTTAGCATCAGGAGTTTGAGAACCCAATTACCTTCTCAACATTAAAAGGACCTATTTTCAAAGTAGTGTATCAAAGATTCCGAATAAGCAACTGAACGCTTTCTCAAACAGTTAGAGTATCTTAACACATATACTTTTCTACTTTTGTCTGCCATCGTCCGAATAAGTTTGCTAATTCCTCTAATGATCAGTAAAATCCAAATTATTGAAAAGAAACATTCAAGTGTAGTACTTCCTATCGATTACTAGAATACCAATACCACCTTCGTCGCATAATCGAAGAGCTGGCTAAGAGTTCCAAATACGACACTAAGTTTGCAATCTATGGTAATTCGCTATATTCTTAGATGATTAGAGCTTTAAAATTGACTTAGTTCTCTGTTATATTATATACTGTGACTGGAATACTCATAACTTCTGCTTGATTTGTATTAATACGATATGCCTCACAAACTTACTCAAGCGCGATTACAAGTTTTCAAGGAAGCGTCATTTTAATCGAAGACATGAGTAAAAATAATTCAAAATGCTGGGATTCAGCTGCAATTATTAACGGATCTAAAACCTATCGAAACCTAGATTTTTTTTTGTTTCTCAATTTAAGTTCTCTCATCCTCATATCCAGTGAAGCACGCCTCACAGTGCGTGTAAACATTTTAAAATGAGGGCACCTAGAGGGAGGAATGGTGGGCGGAGCCGCCCTTTGACCCTGAGAAGGTGTGATGTCCTTCAAGGAATTTCTGGAGGTGTCAAGTACTCCTACGAGGAAAAGCGGCTAGGCTTTGGGAACTCCTGCCACGCCGCCCGCGAGCCCGAGGGGAGACGGCGCCTCATCAATCCTCGTAATCCACGTCATGTTGAGGGAGGACATACCGTCTGCGCCCTAGAGAGGTTCCCATGTGAACCAGCGTGCGTACGTGGTGCGACGCTGCCTTTTGCTCTTTTTGACACGTTTCTCCTGAGATTTCAACGGAAGTGCCCGAGGTTAACACGTTCAAAAGTGCGAAAGGCAGCGGGATGACGTGGTACCTAATGGGAACCTCGCTGGGACGCAGACGATATGGGATGATATCGAGGGTATATGGGTTTGGACGTACAGTATTTGGCCAACGTCCATCGGCCGAAAAATAAGATGCTCCAAACAAACAGAGCCTAAACCTTCTTAAAATGCTTTGTTTTAGCCATATTTTCTAGATGTACTAGCAAAATGAAAATACCATAAAATTCTTTCTAATTTCAGTATCCTCTCTTTTCTATAGAAACTTCAAAATTGACAATCATGAGGATCTCATGTAATTGGGGTTGTTTTGCAAGGCGAATTCAGAAATGATGATTATTTTTTTCGAAGTAGTCTTCTCTTGCACAGTTGCACCTGTACTGCAGGGAAGCCAAGTTCGTAATTTTGTCCGAAAGAAATGTCTTATACTACTGTTGATTTTTCGTCGCTTCAACTATCTTCAGTGCTTTCGCGTTTTACTGATGGAACTTAATGTTTATTTTGCCTTAAAGCCTGACTTGTTTTGATTCAAAATAAAGAGTTGATCTAGCAGGTTATGCATGTTTTCGCTTTTCTTTTTCTTCTGTGTTTCTTCGGAGTTCTGTTACCTTTACATGATGTAGTAGCAGTGGAAACATCGGGACCATTTTTTTTTCAGTTCGCTATTGCGAACATGATCACAAAAGCTGGAATTCACATCTATTTGTATCAGATTATTATAAATTCATTTTTCTGCATACCTTTCATAACCTTTTCACCTAACGCAAGTATGCAGGGATGGGCTACCTTGCAAAATACTTATCATTCCTGGATCCGCCTTGAAAAGTAACTCCAACTACATAGAGATTTATCTTAGAAAGCGATTTTCAAGTTCTTAGAAAAAAGAGAGGATATAGAAATAAGAAATAAACATGATATTATCTCTGATATACTTCTAAGAAAATACGGCGAAAACAAAGCTTTTTAACAAGGTTTAGACTCTGTTTGTTTGGAGCATCTTATTTTTCGGCCGATGGACGTTGGCCAAATACTGTACGTCGGAGTTCTGGCGCTTCTTGGTTGGGTGCTTTATCTTTATCTCCTTATTTTTATCTCTACTAGTGAGCCAGTAAATCTAAAGTGAAGAGCGTTCGCTTCGGGACCGCCGCGGTTTCCCGCTATTGGAAGATTTTTGAACTGAGCTAACGATTCTTTATATATATAGTATATATATTTTATATTAGATCAGATAGATAGATAGATTAGATTACACTCAAGGTGCACCAGGAAATTTAAAAAAATAGTGCATGAAAACACGTAGATACCAAGTAGTCAACTAGTCACATACCAACTTCTGAGCGCTTCTGGGCGCTTGCGCTTTTGGCGTTTCTGAGTGCTGGACGAAGTACAGTCGGTTTCATCCCGGATTAGGCGAGACATACTACGTGGAGCAGCGCATGCGCATCTTGGAGGCTTCGCGAGCGCATAGCGCCAAAAAATTTTTAAAGTAGCACGCATTTTGCCGAGCAAAGACTAAGGAGATTGGAGAGACGCAGACATGGGTTCTCATCACGACAGGATATATTGTAGCTGCGAAACGGCGCGAGCTGTTGCGAGGCGGACTCCCGCCAGTCCAATTTCCGCCTAAAGCGGGTCCAAACTTACTGTATAGGGCATTCGAAAAATCGTGACGATGGCGCGACCGCGCGTAACATGCACGCATTCCCAACTCCTGGTTTCTATCTCTTCTCAAACAGTTTTTCTGCTTACATGAGATACTATCCAAGCACTAGAAGTGACTGAGCTTAGGGCCGCATGCAGTAACCTCCCCGCTGGGGAGGGGATCGCAGCTTAAAAGAAAGCTTTATATTTCGAAACTCCAGATACCTGGATTTCACGTTGTGTACCTATCCGTAAGTATTCCTACTATCCTTCACTGTGAACATATTGAACAGGAGCGAGAAGCTGTACGAACCGCATTTTCCAGCTTTTGTATGATCCCTGATGATCCCCGGCGCTTTTCTTTAAAGTCATTTTTCTTTCTCCGAAGTTAACGAAGACTTTCCAAAGCTGTACTGAACATCTAACACAACAGTGCTAAGCATGTTGCTGATGAGAACAAATGAGTTTTTGAAAAGTCGAATTTTTCGGTAAACCTCAAATTTTTACCTGTGGTTCATCGCAAATTTCATGACTCCGATACATCACTTGTTCTTATCAGCAACATGCTAAGCAGTGTTGGGTTAGATAATCTGCACAACTTTGGAAACTTCTCGTTAACTTCGGAGAAAGAAAAATGACTTCAAAGAAAAGCGCCGGGGATCGTCAGGGATCATACAAAAGCTGGAAAATGCGGTTCGTACAGCTTCTCACTCCTGTTCAATATGTTCATAGTGAAGGGTAGTAGGAATACTTACGGTTACGTACACAACGTGAAATCCAGGTATCTGGAGTTTCAAAATATAAAGCTTTCTTTTAAGCTGCGATCCCCTCCCCGCGAGGATGTTAGTGCATGCGGCCCTTAGAGTTGAGGTGTTGTCTGTTTGTATGGCTGTTTTATCCTTCTGTGTGCGGAAGACCGCAGTCAACTCGTCGTCACGATTTTAAAAATGAACCATACTACCTTTAGTGTCTTGTAGCGATTGAATCGCGGCGATCAAATCGCGTGAACTCTGCCCGAGGCCTAAGCGAAACCACGCGTAGCAACGACA